CTGGAGTGCAATGGCGTGCTCTTGGGTCACTGCAATCTCCGCTTCCCAGGTTCCAGCAATTCTCCTGCCTCAGCTTCCCGAGCTTCTGGGATTACAGGCATGCACCACTATGCCTGGCTAACTTTGTATTTTTAGTAGAGATGGGGTTTCTCCATGTTGGACAGGCTTATTTTGAACTCCTGACCTCAGGTGATCCACCTGCCTTGGCCTCCCAAAGTGTGGGGATTACAGGCGTGAGCCACTGTGCCCGGCCTTTTTTTTTTTTTTTTTTTTTTTTGAGACGGAGTTTTACTCTTGTTGCTCAGTCTAGGGTGCAAAGGTGCAATCTTGGCTCACTGCAACCTCCACCTCCTGGATTCAAGTGATTCTCCTGCCTCAGCCTCCCAAGATGCTGGGATTGCAGGCACCTGCCACCACACCCAGCTAATTTTTGTATTAGTAGAGCTGGGGTTTCACTATGTTGACCAGGCTGGTCTTGAACTCCGGACCTCAGGTGATCCACCCGCCTCGGCCTCTCAAAGTGCTGGGATTACAGGCGTTCACCACCACACCTGGCCACAATGATGAAATTGTGTAATGGCTCATGATACATTTCTCAGAACATATGTCCATCGTGATGTGATGCATGACTGTACTTTTGTAACTTAAAACGTTACTCTTCACTGAAGCCTTTTAAGAAAAAAAATGCTGATGCAAAAAATTAAGGGTATGTCTACTTTTTAATGATTCACTGCTATCCAAGGCAGAATGATTTTGTTATATCCCTTACCTTAATGCTTTTTTCATTGTTCATAACATATTTCTGAGGTTTTTTTCTTCCTTTTGATTTGATCAGCAAAGCCAAGATGAGCCTTTGAGAAGCAGAAAAGTGTTTGTGGGGCGCTGTACAGAGGACATGACTGAGGATGAGCTGCGGGAATTCTTCTCTCAGTACGGGGATGTGATGGATGTCTTCATCCCCAAGCCGTTCAGGGCCTTTGCCTTTGTTACATTTGCAGATGATCAGGTATTTTTCTCCTTAACAATATGTCCCGACCAGGCGTGGTGGCTCATGCTTGTAATCCCAGCACTTTGGGAGGCTGAGGTGGGCAGATCACGAGGTCAGGAGATCAAGACCATCCTGGCCAACATGGCGAAACCCCGTCTCTATTAAAATACAAAAAAAAAAAAATTAGCTGGGTATGGTGGTGCACGCCTGTCGTCCCCGCTACTCTGGAGCCTGAGGTAGGGGAATCACTTGAACCCAGGAGGCGGAGGTGGCAGTGAGCTGAGATCATGCCACTGCACTCCAGCCTGGTGACAGAGCAAGACTGTCTCAAAAAAAAATATGTCCCAGGTAATTAGGTAATTTCTCTTGAACATTTCCCATCCAGCTAATTGCTAGTCTTAGCTGAGTTTTCTGACCTTGTAAGATGTAGGGTGTGTGGGCCTAGACGTTTGTGATACCTGTATTTGATATCCCAAATGTAATATTTTTAAAAAATCTAAAAGTAAGTATACCTTTAGATAGTTTTCAGTATGTGGCATTTGGGAATGTTATATACTGTTTTTTGTTTTGTTTTTTGTTTTTTGTTTGAGATAGAGTTTCGCTCTTGTTGCGCAGACTGGAGTGCAGTGGCGCAATCTCGGTTCACTGCAACCTCCACCTAATGGGTTCAAGCAGTTCTCCTGCCTCAGCCTCCCAAGTAGCTGGGATTACAGGCGCCTGCTACCACGCCTAGCTAATTTATATGTATTTTTAGTAGAGACACGGTTTCACCATGTTGGCCAGGCTGGTCTCAAACTCCTGACCTCATATGATCCGCCCACCTCAGCCTCCCTCCCAAAGTGCTGAGATTGCAGGCGTGAGCCACCACGCCTGGCCATTTTTTTTGTATCTTTAGTAGAGACGGGGTTTCACTGTTTTGGTCTGGCTGGTCCTGCACTCCTGACCTCAGGTGATCCACCTGCCTCAGCCTCCCAAAGTGCTGGGACTACAGGCGTGAGCCACTGCTCCCGCTCCTGGTCCCCCCCGCCCTTTTTTTTTTTTGAGACAGGGTCTCACTTCATTGCCCAGGCTGGTGGAACACAGTGGTGTAATCAAAGCTCACTACATCCTAGAACTCCTGGGCTCAGCCTCCAGGGGAGGATCCTTCAGCTGCAGCCTCCTAAGTAGCTAGGACAGGTACATGCCACTATGCCCAGCTAATGTGGCATTTTGTGGGGTTTTTTTAATAGAGGTGGGGTCTCCCTGTGTCGTCCAGGCTGCCAGGCTAGTCTTCAACTCTTAGCCTTACACAGTCCTCCCACCTTGGCCTCCCAAAGCGCTAGGATTACAGGCATGAGCCACCATGTCCAGCCTATGTCTTTTGAAAATCGACGGAAATATCACTGCTGCTATTAATAAAACTAAAAGCTGTATTGGGGGTTTAAATGAAATGAGCAGTCATTGCTTATTTTTCCTCTGGCTTTAGATAAATTAATGCTTGTAATCTAAGTTTTGTTGCTACTTTAAATGTATGAATCAATGGTTTAATCTTCTTTGTTTACATCCCTTATTTCTTATAGATTGCGCAGTCTCTTTGTGGAGAGGACTTGATCATTAAAGGAATCAGCGTTCATATATCCAATGCCGAACCTAAGCACAATAGCAATAGACAGTTAGAAAGAAGTGGAAGATTTGGTGGTAATCCAGGTGGCTTTGGGAATCAGGGTGGATTTGGTAATAGCAGAGGGGGTGGAGCTGGTTTGGGAAACAATCAAGGTAGTAATATGGGTGGTGGGATGAACTTTGGTGCATTCAGCATTAATCCAGCCATGATGGCTGCTGCCCAGGCAGCACTACAGAGCAGTTGGGGTATGATGGGCATGTTAGCCAGCCAGCAGAACCAGTCAGGCCCATCGGGTAATAACCAAAGCCAAGGCAACATGCAGAGGGAGCCAAACCAGGCCTTCGGTTCTGGAAATAACTCTTATAGTGGTTCTAATTCTGGTGCAGCAATTGGTTGGGGATCAGCATCAAATGCAGGGTCGGGCAGTGGTTTTAATGGAGGCTTTGGCTCAAGCATGGATTCTAAGTCTTCTGGCTGGGGAATGTAGGCAGTGGGGTTGTGGTTGGTTGGTATAGAATGGTGGGAATTCAAATTTTTCTAAACTCATGGTAAGTATATTGTAAAATACGTATGTACTAAGAATTTTCAAAATTGGTTTGTTCAGTGTGGAGTATATTCAGCAGTATTTTTGACATTTTTCTTTAGAAAAAGGAAGAGCTAAAGGAATTTTATAAGTTTTGTTACATGAAAGGTTGAAATATTGAGTGGTTGAAAGTGAACTGCTGTTTGCCTGATTGGTAAACCAACACACTACAATTGATATCAAAAGGTTTCTCCTGTAATATTTTATCCCTGGACTTGTCAAGTGAATTCTTTGCATGTTCAAAATGGAAACCATTGATTAGAACTACATTCTTTACCCCTTGTTTTAATTTGAACCCCACCATATGGATTTTTTTCCTTAAGAAAATCTCCTTTTAGGAGATCATGGTGTCACAGTGTTTGGTTCTTTTGTTTTGTTTTTTAACACTTGTCTCCCCTCATATACAAAAGTACAATATGAAGCCTTCATTTAATCTCTGCAGTTCATCTCATTTCAAATGTTTATGGAAGAAGCACTTCATTGAAAGTAGTGCTGTAAATATTCTGCCATAGGAATACTTCTGTCTACATGCTTTCTCATTCAAGAATTCGTCATCACGCATCACAGGCCGCGTCTTTGACGGTGGGTGTCCCATTTTTATCCGCTACTCTTTATTTCATGGAGTCGTATCAACGCTATGAACGCAAGGCTGTGATATGGAACCAGAAGGCTGTTTGAACTTTTGAAACCTTGTGTGGGATTGATGGTGGTGCCGAGGCATGAAAGGCTAGTATGAGCGAGAAAAGGAGAGAGCGCGTGCAGAGACTTGGTGGTGCATAATGGATATTTTTTAACTTGGCGAGATGTGTCTCTCAATCCTGTGGCTTTGGTGAGAGAGTGTGCAGAGAGCAATGATAGCAAATAATGTACGAATGTTTTTTGCATTCAAAGGACATCCACATCTGTTGGAAGACTTTAAGTGAGTTTTTGTTCTTAGATAACCCACATTAGTTGAATGTGTTAAGTGAAATGATACTTGTACTCCCCCTACCCCTTTGTCAACTGCTGTGAATGCTGTATGGTGTGTGTTCTCTTCTGTTACTGATATGTAAGTGTGGCAATGTGAACTGAAGCTGATGGGCTGAGAACATGGACTGAGCTTGTGGTGTGCTTTGCAGGAGGACTTGAAGCAGAGTTCACCAGTGAGCTCAGGTGTCTCAAAGAAGGGTGGAAGTTCTAATGTCTGTTAGCTACCCATAAGAATGCTGTTTGCTGCAGTTCTGTGTCCTGTGCTTGGATGCTTTTTATAAGAGTTGTCATTGTTGGAAATTCTTAAATAAAACTGATTTAAATAATATGTGTCTTTGTTTTGCAGCCCTGAATGCAAAGAATTCATAGCAGTTAATTCCCCTTTTTTGACCCTTTTGAGATGGAACTTTCATAAAGTTTCTTGGCAGTAGTTTATTTTGCTTCAAATAAACTTATTTGAAAAGTTGTCTCAAGTCAAATGGATTCATCACCTGTCATGCATTGACACCTGATACCCAGACTTAATTGGTATTTGTTCTTGCATTGGCCAAAGTGAAAAGTTTTTTTTTTGTTTTGTTTTTGTTTTTTGTTTTTGTTTTTTTTTTTCTTTTGAAATCTAGTTTTGAATAAGTCTGGGTGACCGCACCTAAAATGGTAAGCAGTACCCTCCGGCTTTTTCTTAGTGCCTCTGTGCATTTGGGTGATGTTCTATTTACATGGCCTGTATAAATCTCCATTGGGAAATCATTCCTTCTAAAAAGATTATTTGGGAGAGTGGGCAAAATGTTGATTATTTTCTAATGCTTTGTAGCAAAGCATATCAATTGAAAAGGGAATATCAGTACCTTCCTAGTTTGGGATTTGAAAAGTGGAATTAATTGCAATAGGGATAAAGTAGAAGAAACCACAAATTATCTTGTGCCAGAAATCCATTAAGAGGCCTGATAGCTTTAAGAATTAGGGTGGGTTGTCTGTCTGGAAGTGTTAAGTGGAATGGGCTTCGTCCTCCAGGAGGTGGGGGAATGTGGTAACATTGAATAAAGTTGAATAAAATCACTTACAAAACTCAGACTCTCACAACGCATTGTTAAGTATGTAAAAGCAATAACATTGATTCGCTGTTGTACTTTTTTGTAACTAATTCTGTGAGAGTTGAGCTCATTTTCTAGTTGGAAGAATGCGACATTTGTTGTGTTAGTAGTTAATGCCCTTACCTAATTAGATTATGATAAATAGGTTTGTCATTTTGCAAGTTACGTGTTTTAAACATTTATAAATGAAGTCATCCTTTAGACTTGTAATCGCCACATTGTTTCATTATTTGGTTTCCTCTGTAAAGGGATCTTGAGTTGTTTTAATTTTTTTTTTAATCTGCATCTAAATCTGCATGATTTCCAAACCCTGTACCATCTGAATTTTGCATTTTAGCACTTGCACTATTACTCAGCAGCAGTAACATGGTAACACTTAAAATGGTACTCGGGGACCTCCAAAGACTAAACTGACAAGCCTTCAAGAAGCCCAGGGGTAAGTTAACTTGTCGACGGCATGGTTTAATCCCTTCTTTACACTTGTGTAAATTTCAGTTACTGGTCTTAGAAGGCTTTCAATGTTGAGTAGCCTTTTATTAACATGTTTATGGTACTGCATAGATACGGGTATTTATTTTACCCTAAAAAGATTTTGAAGTTTAGAAGTACTTAAACTATTTGGCAAAGATTTGTTTTTAAAAATCTATTTGGTCATCTAAATGCATTCATTCTAAAAAATTTTTTGAACCAGCTAAATAAAAATTTTTTTTGACACCACAGTTTAGTGTCTGGAGTCTTACTGGAAAAACACGATTTCTTTTTATATGTGACATACAGATGCTGGAAAGTTACCTTTAAAAATTGAGTCTAAAAAAAGAAAATAAAAATTGAGTCTGAAGAAGTTGTACTTTATACTTTATATGCACAAGAGAAATGAGGCCAAGACTCACGGTAAACTTTTACATGGAATGTTAACTGTTAGACTGAAAAACTTGAATGTTAGCTATTCAAACCTTTTAGGAAGGAATAGCCAGCTAAAATGAAATGAGATTTTTAAGGTTAAATCAGCACTTAAGTTTTGTCCTTAGTAGGAAAAAGTAGGAACTACTCCGTAATCCAAGAGATAATGTGTAATAGTAAGAATGATTTTGTTGTTGAGTACAAGCAAAGTAGCTCCTAACTGTGTATTAGTGTTCTGTACTTGACTCAACTGTTGTGTGATCTGTGCTCTTGTTAGGCATCACTGTGCCCAAGTATTTCATGTTCATTGTAAAGGGGAAAAAATTACAGATTTATCTATAACGTCACCACTTATTTCTAATGCCATTTTTCATCTTGTGGAAATGCCACATTTTGATTCAGTCTTCTGAATTTGAACATTACTCAGGTTATTTCCAATTGCTGGGAATATCCTTACTGCCAAAATAAATTCTTAGCATTGAAATTGCTAAGTCGAAGATTATGCATGCTTTTTAAGGGCTTTTGAAATGTATTGCCAGTCTATGGCCTGCCACTCTCCCTGAACATGCCTGGTCTTGCTTAAAATGTATTGCCAAATAGTCCTTTGGGAAGTTTATGTTGTCTTTAACAATATGAAATAGTACTAGTATTCACGTTCCTTTTGTCTGACAATTTGATAAGTGAATAATTGTATCCCACCAATTTGTGGTATTGGTTTTTAACATGGAAATTTTAGTCGGTACCTGGGCTGAAGTATTGTGTTTCCAGCCTACCTACCCCAAAAGATTCAAGGTTATCCTTGAATCAATACTGCTATAATATATAAAGCACTTACAGAGATCAATAAGAACAAGTTTAAAAACAGTCAAAGACCATGGACAGGCAGTTTACAGAAATGCCAACAGCCAGTATGAAAAGAGACTGGCCTTTTAAAGTAACAAAATGTAATTTGAGCAGTGACATTACATTGGGTTGGCAAAGGTGACTATCACTCGTAGCTTATGTCCCCTTGAGTCAGTGGGTAAGGTTGGAATTAAACTGGTAAGTGGAGAAATGACAGCAGTCTCACCTGGAGTCTGTTTTTTGGGTGGAGCAACAACTGCCATGTTCATAGTAATGATTAATGCTTCTCAGGTCACGTTGCTGCCAAGGTCTTCACAGGCATTTCTAAAAATGAGGAATCCTTGACTGACTGCAGACATGCGAATTAAAAATTACCAATTATGTTCTTGATCCAGGGAATATAGTTAATGACTTTTGTATAGACTCCGTACTGACCTGCTTCCCCACAATTCATGGAACCCCAGGACACTATTCCTCCCACAAACCACCTCTGTGTTTCATTATCTAGAAACACCAGTGCCCCTCCGCTGTCACCTCTGCAGCTGTCCTTGCCTCCACTTTCTAAGCCAGCGCAAAGCATGTTAGCAGTTACACTTCCCCCTGAATAGGGTGGCTTTTCATATGCAGCAGTACATTTTTGATGGTCAACAATTGGTATGTCGACATACATTAGATTTCTAGCAAGTAAGCCTCTTTGGGTTAATCCCCATCCAGATGCAGTTCCAATGTCATCTGTCCTCATAAAGGATTCAGCTTCTTTTCTTGGCAGACAAATAGGCGTGATGTTGCTATTGATTACAACTTTGTTATTCAATTTAATCAGTGCTATGTCATTGTCAAAGCCAGCATCATGAGTATAACCTTCATGTATAAAAACAGCTTCAGCCCAGGCTTGTGTATAATGAGGCGATAGTCTCTTCAGGGCGCCCAATCGAATGTCCAGGGAGGATGCATCATGTTTTTGCTCATATATGGCATGAGCAGCTGTGAGGACCCAGTTGTCATATAAAAGTGCACCTGCTGCTGTGCTTCCACCTAATATCAGGACTTGCCAAGGAAAATCACCAGGTTTTGCCTTTTGCCCTCCATATATACGCCCTCCTGTTGTACGGGCTGATAGTCCACAAACTGAGGGAAAAAAGCAGATAGGTAGAGAGCCTTTGTAAAATGTCAGTCATGTTTTTCTTAAATTATGACCACTTTCAAGTATGTATTCGATGTCAACCAAAAGTTACATTACATGAGTTGGTGGGTGACCACCTATACAGGCAAGTGAGGCTATTTTAAAACATCGCAGTTCAAACACCTGATAAAACCTTTTGGTATTTCTTAGCTCCTCAGAAAATGAGATTAGTGAAAACTGACTTTTAGAAGTTACTTTGTTTTGCTAAAATAATTTGGTCTATAAGATTGGGAAGGCAGGGCATGGTGGCTCATGCCTGTAATCCCAGCACTTTGGGAGGCCAAGGCAGGCGAATCACGAGGTCAGGAGATCAAGACCATCCTAGCTAACATGGTGAAATCCCATCTCTACTAAAAATACAGAAAGTGAGCCGGGTATGGTGGCAGATGCCTGTAGTCCCAGCTATTCGGGAGGCTGAGGCAGGAGAATGGCGGGAACCCGGGAGGCGGAGTTTGCAGTGAGTCGAGATTGCGCCACTGCACTCTAGGCTGGGCAACAGAGCAAGACTGTCTCAAAAAAATTTAAAAAAGATGGGGAAGTTGGCTGGGTGCAGTGTCACACCTGTAATCCCAGCACTTAGGAAGGCTGAGGTGGGTGGATCACCTGAGGTCAGGAGTTTGAGACCAGCCTGGCCAACATGGTGAGATGCTGTCTCTACTACATATACAAAAAGTAGCCGGGCATGGTGGTGGGCACCTGTAATCCCAGCTATTCGGGAGGCTGAGGCAGGAGAATTGCTTGAACCTGGGAGGCAGAGGTTGCAGTGAGCCAAGTCATATCACTGCACTCTAGCCTG